AGAAATGGGACCAGGGAGGCTGGAGGGTGGTGATGGGACATGAGTTCAGGGAGGTGGGGATGGGTTGCAGCATGAGGGGCCTTGTGGACCATGATAGGGAGCCTGTAAACTGGGGCGGATAGGTTGAAGATTGAAGGGCCAAGCAGGACAGCACATTCCTGTAATTCCAGCAGACCAGGATGCTGCAGCAGGAGGATTACAAGTTCAAAACCAACCTCAGCAATTTAGTGAGGCCCTAAGCAATTTTGCTAGGTTGTCTCAAAAAATAAAAAGGGCTGGGGTGTGGCTCAGTGGTTAAGTGCCCCAGGGTTCAATTCCCAATATCCCCCCCAAAAAAAATTCTAAAGGGCAGATTAAATKAATGCATTGTCTAAAGACCTTAGCCTAGTATCTGGCATTTAGTAAGCGCTCAGTGCTCTTGTTCCCTATTCTTATCACTTCTCAGTAGGATCSTTGTTAATATGTGTTTTTCATCACGTGCTCCTGGAGGGTACTGTTAGCTGCATCTTTTTTTAAAAAAAAAAAAAAACAACAACAAAAATTTATTTTTTTAGTTGTAGTTGGACACAATACCCCCATTTTGTTTACTTATTTTTATATGGTGCTGAGAATAGAACCCTGGGCCTTGCACTTGCTAGCTGAGCACTCTACCACTGAGCCATAACCCCAGCCYAGTTGCATATTAGTTCTTGGACCAGGCCTCTAAATATTGGGTGAAAATAGTAATAAGATGGTATTGTAGCTGAGTGTGGTGGCACATGTCTGTAATCCCAGCAGCTCAGGAGGCTGAGGCAGGAGGATCACAGATTCAWAGTCWGCCTCAGCAACTTAGCAAKATCCTGTCTCAAAATCAAAAATAAAAAGGGCTGAGGATGTGGCTCAGTTGTTAAGCGCCCCCTTGGGTTCAGTCCCTGTACTATATATTGCTATTGGCCTGGGGTGTAGCTCAATTTAGCATACACAAGGATTCAATCTCTAGCACACACACACATACACACACACACACACAAAAAAAAAAAAACCTCTCTAAAATGTTGAAACGTTTTATTCCAACACTCATTATGARTCTTCTCAAAATTATGAGGCTGCATTATTATGCATTATTCATTTTGCAGATGGGGAGACTGAGACAGAGTAAAGTAACTTGCCCAAGGTTGCACAGGCAAAAAGAGAAAGTGCCCAGATTTGGATCCAGACATTTTGCTCCAGAGCCCCACTTTGTAACTCCTCCACTCACCTCCAAATGCTCTTCCTGAAGGCTGTCCCCCACCTCCATCTACATCTCAGCTCCTCTCCTTGCAGGGGCGGCATGGAAGCTCCTGTCAGGTGTACGGGAAGGCCAGACACAGGTGGACACCCCTCAGGTAGGGGACATGGCTTATTGGTCTCACCCCATAGACCTGCACTTCGCTACCAAAGGTCTCCAAGGTGAGTACCAGGCCTGGGCCCTGGGACCAGGGACGGAGAGGGGGACCTATAGTACCCAAAGCAGATGAACCTGGGAACACCATGTCTTGTCCTGCTCTCCATATCTTGTGTGTCCCTTTCCTAACCACTGCCCTGAGAGGCTGTGTTAAGGCCTTCCTAGGCCTGTCCTACTGTAGGTCCCAAATATGTGGGACGGGACAGAAGCCAGGGGTGGAAGGGAGATGAGAAGGTGGGGTCAGGATGGGAGGGGTGGTGGCCTTCAAGTAGAGACAATGGAAGAGCCTCCAGTGAGGAGGGAAGCCCGATAAGGGTGTGTGTGCGGTTTATGAGCAGTAGAAAGGGAGGAGGGCCCCCAGTGAGGGGCAGGGGCTCCTCAGCTTGAGAACAGAGGTGCTGCTCTAAGGGGAAATGAGTATTCAGGGGAGGAKGTGGATATAAAGCCTTTTCTGGTAGAAAATGCAGTAGATTCCAGAAAATAGCCTGGGGAGAGGTGCTGTATATTTCACAATATCAATACTGTTCACTGCTGCCTGCCCTGGCCCCAGCCAGTGTTGGTGATGCGAGGGAGACGGCTGTGATCCAGAGAGCCCCACCCCCTGCCCTGTCCTCAGGGGCACCATCCTGTGGGGGAGACCCAACCTACCTCTAGACAGGAACAGCMCATAGAGGGCAGGGCTAGGATAGGGGATTGTGGGAGGCCAGAGGGAGCCCAGAAGAGGTATTTGAGCCTGYCAGGGAGGTCACAGAGGTCTCCTGAGGGGCTTGAGCTTTGTTGTGAAGGGCCAGAGAAGCTAGCAAGGTGGAAGGTGGAAGAGTCCTGCGCACGGATAGCTGTGTATGGAAGGTTCCAAGGGGAGARTGAGCAGGGTATTTTGAGGACTGTGGGTGAGTGGAGGGACAGCAAGGGAAGAGGGGACGGGCCATGCAGGGCCTTGAATGCCAGACTGAGGAGCTGAGGCCATTCAGAGGTGAACAGGTGAGGGACAAGTCAGATTTTGCTTTTAAAAGTTCTTTCTGGCTGCCGTTTGGGTGTGATTTGGTTCAGCTCTCTAGCCCCCCAGTCAGACTTTGTTTCCAGTCTGGACCCAACCATTCCTGGGCCTTCTCCCTTCTCAGTCCTCCACCCATCCATCAGGAAACCCTGCTGGCTCTACCTAACACAGCCTAACGTGTACTCTTCTCACCCACTTTCTGCCTAGCATCTGATCTCCATCATCATCTTCACCTTGGTCATTCAGTAACATCTTCACTGTGTTCCCAGCCCCAAGCCCCAGGGTCTGTGTCTCCCACCAACCAGCGTAGCCTTGTGATTACCTAAGTCGGGTCACATCCCACTGTTGAGCCTTCTGGTGGCTCCTGACTCACTCCCTTCCCTCCTTTAGGCAATTACTCAACTGTCATCTTCTTAGTGAAGCTTTCTGATCCTTTCCTTTCCCAGGCTTCATCCCCACCTCCACCCCACCCGGCTTTATTTTTCTCCAGAGCAGTTATCACCATCTGACGTACCCTATAATTTGCTTATTTACTATGTTCAGTTGTCTAGGATGTCAGCCTCAGAGGGCAGAGATTTTTGTCTGCTGTGCTCACCACTGTGTCCCCAGCTCTAAGACAAGAGCTAGCACAGAGGAGGGGCTCAGAATACAGGGTGAGATGGCGTGGGTCTCYAAGACTTTGACTACCAGGCTGAGGAGCTGAGCTGTACCTGAGGACTCTGGCAAGTGTATGGAAGAGCAGAAAGATGCTTCCAGCTGCCAGAGGGAGTAGATTAGACAGGGCAAGAATGAAGGCCCTGAGCCCAGAGTGGGAGAACAGGACCGTGCTATGAGGAGGGAAGGTAGAAGATGTCTAGGACAAGGCCCAAGACACTGACYTGGGACCTAGAGGAGCAGTGGGCTGCCCTGACAGGGAAACTTTGAGGAGGCACTCATAGAGAGGCCATATCTGAAGGACCTTGAATATCRAGGAGGTTGGACTTTGTACTGAGGGCACTGGGGAGCTATGGAAGAGTTTTGAGCAGGGGAGTAACATGGATTTAGAGAGATCCCTTTGGCTGTTGTGTGGCATTGAATTGGGAACCCAGAGAGGAGGCTGGGGCAAAACCCTGAGGGGAAAGGACTGGGTCCAGAGTCTTCAATGGTATCAGGGAGGTGGGGACCCAGGAGCAGGAAGCTGGGTACTACCATCCCTCGTTTTATTCTCTCCATCCTATTCTGCAGGTTGGCCCCGACTCCATCTCCAGGTGTGGTCCCAGGACAGCTTTGGCCGCTGCCAGCTCGCAGGCTATGGCTTTTGCCATGTGCCTAGCAGCCCAGGCACCCACCATCTGGAATGCCCCACTTGGCGGCCCCTGGGCAGCTGGAGAGAGCAGCTGGCTAGGGCCTTTGTGGGTGGTGGGCCACAGCTGCTGCATGCAGACACTATCTACAGTGGGGCGGACCGGTATCGTCTGCACACAGCTGCGGGTGGCACTGTGCACCTTGAGATTGGCCTGCTACTGCGCCACTTTGACCGCTATGGAGTGGAGTGCTGAGGGACCCTAGTCCTCATCCACAGCCCTGGATACCTGGTGAGGGCAGGATGGCTCAGGGGTCAAGATCAGCGGCTCTGGAGACTGTCAGACCTCATCCCAGCCAATGCATGGCCCCGCTTCTGTCCTAGGCCAGTAACTGCACCCTGGAGGCACAGTTTTCCACTCTGTCACACTGGGGCAGTATGAGGGCCACAGAGGTAGGGGGGTAAGAGGCTGCTTGGCACATAGGAGGTATTCAATAAAGGCAAGCAGTTCTTACAGGTGTGGTTCCTCCCTGATGGCCTTCATCTGTCACATGTCCTGTTGCCCATCCTTTCACCGACATCTTCTCTCTTCACGCCTCCATCTCGTGACAGAAGTCAGGAGTCATCTCCTGCCCCAGTTTCTCACTTTCTTCCCCTTCTGGGTCCCCCTCCTCGGATCCCCTCTCCCTTTATCCCTGATCTCCCCTTGAGCCCTCCCTGCCAGGTCTGCATTTTCTYGTTGACCCAACACCAACCCCCAAAGCCACCGCTAATCTCCGCCACCCGCTCTAGTATGGCTCGGCCGCCAGGAGGCAGCACCCTGTCCACGGGGCGGAGCCGGGGTGCCTGCCCCCTCCCCCTGGGGCTGAAGGGACCCCCCTCGGAGCCCGCCCACGCGAGATGAGGCCGGTGGCCCCCCCATGCCCTCCCCCTGGGGGTTGCCCCCGCCCCGCGCGCTTCCTGGGTGGGGCCGGGGCGGCCTCAAAACCCCCGCCGCCCTAGCCGGTCCCCACCGCCGCCGTCGCCGCCCTTCGCGCCCCGGGCCGTCCCCCTCCCTCCTCCCGCCGCGGATCCGCCAGACAGCGAGGCCCCCGGCCGGGGCAGGGGGACGGCCCCTCCGGGGCACCCCCGGCTCGGAGCCGCCCGCGGAGCCGGCCTCCGCCCGTTGCGGAGGAAGGAGCCGAGCAGCAGCCCGAGGCCCCTGAGTCTGAGACGAGCCGCTGCCGCCCCCGCCGCCGCCGCCGCCGCTGCCACCGCGGGGAGGAGGGGGAGGAGGAGCGGGAGGAGGGACGAGCTGGTTGGGAGAAGAGGAAAAAAAGTTTTGAGACTTTTCCGCTGCCGCTGGGAGCCGGAGACGCGGGGACCGCTTGGCGCGGCGCTGCCCCGCGAGGAGGCAAGACCTGGAGACTCCAGACCGCCCCCCGCTCACGGCCCCGGACGCTCGCTCCCTCCCTGTCCCCTACACAGAGTYCCCCCGGCGCCCCCATACCGGACCAGCTCTCAGGAGCCGCAAACCCCGCCTCCCGCGAAGACTTCACCCCAGACCTGGGGCGCACCCCCCTGCACGCCGCCCTTACCCAGCCTGTCTCCCGAGCCACCGCGCATCCTAGGACCCTCTCTCCCCCCGGGGACGGATCTCTCTCAGACCTGCCACAGCTCTCCCATTCAAGACCACCCACCTTCTGGTACCAGATCTCGCCCATCTCGATCTTCTCCCTGGGATATTGAGACAACCMGTGTCAGAGCCTCCCCGAGACCTGTGCTTCTTTCTTCCGGAGGCCTTCAATTTCCTTCCCCCGAGGCCCTTCTACCTTTCTCCGGGAGACCCCCAGACCCTACAGGGGCGGGGCCCCCCTATCCCACCTCTGCCCTGTTCGCGCTCTCGGCAGGGCCGGGGGGCGCCGCCTCCCCCATGCCGCCCTCCGGGCTGCGGCTCCTGCCGCTGCTGCTACCGCTGCTATGGCTACTAGTGCTGACGCCCGGCCGGCCAGTCGCGGGACTATCCACCTGCAAGACCATCGATATGGAGCTGGTGAAGCGGAAGCGCATCGAGGCCATCCGTGGCCAGATTCTGTCCAAGCTACGGCTCGCCAGCCCCCCGAGCCAGGGGGAGGTGCCGCCCGGCCCGCTGCCCGAGGCCGTGCTCGCCTTGTACAACAGCACCCGCGACCGGGTGGCGGGGGAGAGCGCCGAGCCGGAGCCCGAGCCCGAGGCGGACTACTACGCCAAGGAGGTCACCCGCGTGCTAATGGTGGAAAGCACCAACAGTGAGCTCGGAGGGGTGGGGGAGCCGGGACGGGGCCCCCAGGGGGCGCCGGAGTGCAGGGGTCACGGGGAGGAAATTACTGGCAGAGGAAACTGGCTGGAGGAAGGGGACCCCCGGGGTCGCCAAGATTGTGTGTGTTGTCCCGTTCCAAGTAGGATGCAGGGGCGCTGCTCCCTCCCCACTCCTCCAAGGTTTCTGGTCTTGGAGAGAAGGGGAGAGTGAACGAAGTAGACCACTTTCAGAGAGCGACGACAGGAGTATGTGGGAACGTGGGGGAGAGCCCCCTAGAGAGAAAGAAGCAATTGAGAGATTTTAAAAAGTGCTTTCTCTCCGGGGTGCGCTGGAATACGGAGGTAGTGGGATTCCCTTTGCACAGAGGACAGCCCGGTTGGGGAGAAACGAAGACCCCAGCATTTGGGAAAGGAGAGGCAGTGGGAAAGCTGCCCTAAAAGCTCTGGGGGTCGTTGCGACAGTAAGATTCAAGGCTAGAAAAGTAGGTGGGGAGAACCCCAGAAGTGCCAGAAAAGCGTAGAATAGACTCACTTTCAGAGGTCGCCAGGAACACGCGGGATTGTGGGAGATCGTGGAGAGAAGTGACCTGGGTTGAGTGTGATAGATGAGGGACGAAAGGGATGCAAAGTCGTTGGGAGAAGGAGGCTAGCAGGAGAGCGGGCCGGGGATGCATGGGGAGAAGCCTGGGGACCAGAGCCCTAGTGCCGAGCCCAGCAGGGGAAGTGAAATCAGTCACGGGAAGGGGGTCAGAGGAACTCCAGTCATGGGAAGGGGGTTACAAAGAGGGGACACAGGCATGGGAAAGCTGTAACCCACGAGGCGGGCAGAGCAGTTATATGGTGCCATACCATGCTGAGAGCAGCGAGTCCCCTCGCTGCGGCAGGGAAAGCAGTAGATTGAGTGAGAAACTGAACCCCTGGAGTAAGTGTGATAAGAGGCGACAGCACTAGAGACCGAGGTGAGAAAATCGAGTTGGTAGGGGTGAGAAAGCCCCACGTGGGTGCCACGCGCGGGGGGAGGAGCCTGCGCTTCCAGGAGTCAGGAGGACCTCGCAGAGCTGAACATTGGCAGCCTGGCCCCCAAAGCCCCAGTTCCTCTTTGGGGAGGCTGGGGAAACCCCAGCGTCCGGCCGCCTCGCTCTCCTCCCTTCCCTTTCCTTCCCKTGCCCTGGGGGCGGGGGCGGGGATCGCGCTCAGAGCCGGGGGCGAGACGGGGCAGGTCTGGTCCCCGCCCTCGCGGCTGCGTTGCCTCCYGCCTTGCTCATCCTAGCAACGGGCGGGGCTACTCCTGCGCCCGCCCCGTCGGCGCCCACGCGGGGACGCAGGCACCCCGCATGGCCCGGAGCTTTGGGGGCGATYCCCCAGGTTTCCCTTTCTCTCTTGGGCGATGGGCTTTCCAGTCCCCGGCGCCTTCCTGCTCCCAGTTTGTGGCTCCAACCAAAAGACATCCCCTGCTCACCTACTTCTCTGTGTCGCCTTTTTTCGTTATATAGGTTTTACATTGATACCTTCGATTCCTCTTTCTCCCCTGAGTTGTCTCCATCTCTACKCTAATTGCTTATCTCTCTTCTCGACCGCGTCTGCTCTCTGGCCGGCGATCTCTCCATCTCTTGCCTCATCCCWTTCGTGCCTTTGCCCACATATAGGTCTCGGGGTGTGTCTCTCCATGCATTCCTTATCTATCTGCTCCTTTTCCCCACACCTCGTCCCATGACCCTGCTGTCTCTGCCTTTGTGCGGTACCCCACAACCTTCCTGCCCTTTCCCCCCACCCCTATCTGTTACCCCCTACAAAGGCTCTGCCCTTCCCTTCGGGATTGCTGAGTAACCACTGTGCCAAGAATAGGGCTTGTGGGGGCAGGGAGGGCTGGTGGGGCGGAGGACTAGGGGAAAAGGGCCACAGGAAGGGGTTTCCTTAGTTCTTCCTCCTTCAAATTCTCTCCATCATCTTTGCAACCCCACTTGTAGACTTCCAAAAAACCACTCCAGTAGATCCAAGAGTTCACTGCCTGCACTTCATCCCCAACCCAACATCCTAGACTAGATGATGCTCTTCTCCCCACTTCAGGCTTTCCCTCCTAAAACGAACTTCATCTTCTCTAGCAGCTGGGAGAAGGAGTTGAGGGAGGAAGCAATTCATAATAATAGTAATAATAATAAAGTCACATTGGCAGGAAGACAGCATAATTTAGAGGTTAAAAGAGCGCAGTCCTTAGAACCAGCCTGCCTGATCTGAATCCCATTCTGCCACTTCCTATTTGTGGATCTTTGAATTATCCGTCTCTTTGTGCCTCAGTCTCCATCTATTACACGGATACAATAGGCTCTTCCTCACAGTGTTGTCATGAGGTTTCAGTGTCTTCTTTGTACTATGGTTTGAACAGCATCTGACAAATAGTGTTTTTGTTTGTTTGTTTGGTACCAGGGATTGAACCCAGAGGCACTTAACCATTAAGCCACATCCCCAGACCATTTTTTATATTTTATTTAGAGACAGGATCTCACTGAGTTGCTTAGGGCCTCTCTTAAGTTGCTGAGGCTGGCTTTGAACTCCTGATCCTCCTGCTTCAGCCTCCTGAGATACTGGGCTTACAGGGTGACCCACTGTGCCTGGCTACAACAATGTGGTCTTCAACATACACATTGTGGAGTGACTGGTGTGCACAGACTCTGTCACATGCTTTACCTGCACCATCTATGATCCTGGCATTGGGTGATCTCTCACAGATGAAGATCTGGCTCAGGGAGAGGATTTGCTAGTCACAGGTTACACAGTGCTTCCGTCAGGAGAATCTAGGTAGGTTGTCAGGGAGTTCAATGAGTTTGCTGTTTTTCAAAGAATAACAGGAAACTGAGGTTCAGAGAGGGGACGTGAACTGCCCAAAGTCACACAGCTGAGAAACAGCAAAGGCGCTTTCTGATCCCAGAGCCCATACCTTCTTTGAACCTTTCTCTGCAATTAAATTTGTATTTGAGGTTCCAAGCCCTGGGGAAGCCTAAGCAAGCAGAGCAACCCCTCTTGGTGGCAGCCTATGCTGGGTGGGTGTTCGATAGATGATGCCTGGTGGGAGAGAAGGTGGATAGGTCCTGTCGTACAGAGGAGGAAACAAAGGGGGAAAAGCACCGCAACCCAGAGCTGTCAGCTCCACACACTTAAACTTGGGGTCTTCCTGCTCCCCTTACTCTGCCAAACCCCTGATATCCTCTGTCTCTCCTCCTGCCTAGAAATCTATGAGAAAACCAAGGACATCTCACACAGCGTGTACATGTTCTTCAACACATCAGAGCTCCGGGAAGCAGTGCCGGACCCTCTATTGCTGTCCCGGGCAGAGCTACGTCTGCAGAGGCTCAAGGTAAAAGCCGAACAGCACGTGGAGCTGTACCAGGTGAGGACATGAGCCCGAGAAGTGGGACGCAGCCTCAGGGGCTRAGCTGTGGCCACTGGGTTGGAGGGAAGGCTGCTAGCTGCAGGGTCTACACAGATGGTCCCTGAATAATGGAGGAGCTCAGACCTCTAAATCCTAGGGTTCTTTACCACTTCCATACTCTGAGAGCAGGGTATAGTGGTGCATGCCTATAATCCCAGCAACTTGGGAGACTGAGTCAGGAGGATAGCAAGTTCAAAGCCAGCCTCAGCAATTTAGCAAGGCCCTCAGAAACTTAGTGAGACCCTATCTCTAAATTAACAAATAAAAAGGGCTGGGGATTGTAGCTCAGTGATTAAAAGCCCCTGGATTCAATCCCTAGTACAAAAAAAAAAAAAAATCCCAGAGAACTTTCATATTCTTACCCAGGCATAATGAGACATGTCTGTAATCCCAGTGACTTGGGAGTCTAAGGCAGGGAGATCTTAAATTCAAGGCCAATCTGGCCAATTTGGCAAGACCCTGTCTTAAAATAAAAAGGACCTAGGATGTAGTTCAGCAGTAGAGCACCCAAGGGTGCTATCCCCAGTACCACAACAACAACAACAAAACCCCACAAACAACATACAATTTTAAGACTATCCTACAATGTTAAATGCTTAGAAGATTGGAATCTAATTAGGAGTTTGACTGTTTAAGATAGCTCAGTGGTAGCAGGGCGTGGTGGTGCATGCCTGTAATCCCAGGGACTCAGGGGGCTGAGGCAGGAGGATCCTGAGTTCAAAGCCATCCTCAGCAAAAATGAGGTGTTAAGGGGATGTGGCTTAGTGGTCAAGTGCCCCCTGAGTTCAATCCCCAGTCCTCACCTTCCCCCCCAAAATGATAGCTCAGTGGTAGAACACTTGCATAGTGTGGTGTAAAGCCCTGAGTTCTATCCCCAGCACCACCACCACTGATGATGGGGTTAGCTGCCTGTTTTGAACTTCACAGGTAAAGAACATTCCCAGGAAATTCTTTTGGACTGTGCTGCTCTAAAGATGGAGTCTTTAGGAGGATTAGGGCTTCTAGGAGACCTGGAATCTCTAGAAGGTTCTGTGACCTAGAATCCACGTCATATGGAATCTTGTAGAGACTTGCAATGGGAGAATTTTGTCTAATGTTAGTTTCTCGGAGTCTAGAGAATTCAACATCTGCTGTAGCCCCTGATGTCCTGCATACAGCCCCAGGGGTTGTTCCACAGAGATGCTGGGCACCTGCAACATCTAGGGGTATGACCTGTCAGACCCTTGGGTTGGTAGAACATTAGCGTTGTAGAACTGCTCAGGCTTGGACATTATTAGTGTTATGTTAAGGTGAACATAATCCCTTAGAAAGTTAACAACTCTCAGAATCCAGGGTGTCCAAATTGTTGACCTGTATGCTCGGCAAAGCCCAGAACTTTAGCAGCAGCTTGACATTGTGGGTTTTCCAAGGTCCCCACAGAGGACACAGGGAACCAGGGACAGAGGCTGAACTGGGTATCATGACCCAGGCCTGGGGCTCTTTCTCTATCTGTCATGGGTGTTGGGGTGGGGGGAGCCTGAAGGCCCCACAATGTSATGACTTGGGAGGCTTGTATCTGGGGACTGTCTGGAGGTCTACTTGGGGGAACAGGCAAAGTGAGGGTACAGTCAGTGTATGCTGGGGGCATAGTGGCATCTGCCTACCCCCCATTTATCATCTTCAGAAATACAGAAACAATTCCTGGCGCTACCTCAGCAACCGACTGCTGACCCCCAGTAACACGCAGGAGTGGTTGTCCTTTGACGTCACTGGAGTCGTGCGGCAGTGGCTGAGCCAAGGAGGTGAGGATTGCTCTCTGCCCCACCCACCCTGTTTCTTAATGGGGTCAGTCCTGTTGTTTGTTCTAGGGTCACCCTTCCTAGCACCCCGCTATCTGACATTTGTGCCAAAGAGCTGAGCTTGACCTTCTTCCCTGAGGCACACCTGGGTTTATATGTGAATCCATTAATGGTTAATGCATTTCCTGAGCTCTCTCCTCTGCCCTACCCTGGGGACACAGCAGTGACCAGAACAAGGCCCCATTCTTGCCTTCAGGAAGCTCATTATCCATTGGGTGGGTGAATGGAGAACAGGTCTGTGGCCATGTGATGATGCCCAGAGTGGGCAGCCCACAGGAGAGCCCACGGGAGGTGCCTGACCAGTCTGGACTCAGGCAGGGATTTCTGGAAGAGAAGACATTTGAGCTGGTGTCTGAGAGATGAGTAGAGCCAGCCAAGTAAAGAAGAGGGGGCAAGAATACTCTGTGCCAAGGCACTGGGGTCAAGGAGAACCTGACACATTGAATCTGTCCATAAAAGAATTGTGTCCAGCCATTGCCGGTTGAGTCCAGTGTCCCCATATCACTCTTCCTTCTTGACCTCTCATGCTCAGGCATTCATTCAGTTAACACCAACATGTTTCTGCTCTGTGCCTGGCACAGTACTAACCAAGACTACCCTGGGTCATGCCTTCATGGGGCCCACCAGGCCCTTCTGGATACCTAGGAGGTCTTGCCAAAGCCCTGGCAGGTGTAATAACCTAGCATGATCAAGGCCAGAAGTGTGAGCACAGGCAGAGTGGTCAGGGCTGGGGTGAGGGCAGTCCTAAGTGCTATGGGAACCCAGAGAAGGTACCCAAGCCCATTTGGGGGTCAGGGAGGGCTTCCTGGGGGGGTTGTGTTGAGACTCATGGGATACGTAGTAATTTGACAAGATGAATGAAACAGGGACTAGGAAGTAGGGGTGGGCACCAGGAGGAGTGTCCTTGGCCACTGGATCAAGGCCTGGAAGGATCTGGTCTGTCTTGGTTGATGCTGACTCCCAAACTCCAGCTCAAGGTCAGGCACACAGTAGGAGCTTAGAAAACACCACTGACACATTCATTCAAGAAACATCTCTCACCTGCGTGTGTCAAAGTGCCCAGGCTTAGATTTGCACCATTGCCCTACCTTTTGGCACATGTGTGTCTTGGGCAAGTCACTTCTGTTTTGTGTGCCCTCAGTGTCCTTGTCTGAAAAATGGGCAGTTTGGATGAGGACTACCCACCCCCTCATAATGCACATAGAGATAATGCACATAGAATTCAGAACAGGACCTGACTCCTGGTACACAGTAGACACTTGTTTTTTAAATTTTTAATATTTTTTATTTGTTCTTTTTAGTTATACATGACAGTAGAATGCATTTTGACACATCCTGCCTACGTGGAGTATAACCCCATTCTCGTGGTTGTACATGATGTGGGGTTACACTGGTCGTGTATTCATATAGGAACATAGGAAAGCTATGTTCGATTCATTCCACTGTCTTTCCCATTCCYATTTGCCCTCCTTTCCCCGCCATTCCCCTCTGTCCCCATCCAGTGAACCTACACCTACCCCAGCTTCTGCCCATTGTGAGTCAGCATCTACATATCAGAGAGAGAACATTCGGCCTTTGGTTTTGGGGAACTGGCTTATTTCACTTAGCATGATAGTCTCCAGTTCCATCCATTTACCAGCAAATGCCATACTTTCATTCTTCTTTATGGCTGAGTACTATTTCATTGTGTGTCTATACCACTCCGTGTTTACTTTTGTGACCGTGGTCCAGGCTCGTGGACGATAAGAGAAGCAAGGATCCCTGTCCTGGTTCGTCCTGCTTTCTGCTGAGAGAAATAAACAGCCAAACACAGATGTCAGAGAGGGGGAATCCTGCTGTGACATCATGGTGTGGGAGGGGTGCACATACTGGAGGGCCTCTCTGAGGAGGTGACATTTGAGCTGAGCCCTGAAGGAGCCAGCAACTCAAAGACCTGGTGCAGGAGACCTGCAGAGAGAGGGCAGGGTGGGGTGCCTTGGGGGAGGCGGAGGGAGCCCCAGGTTTGCTCCTTCCTGCCTCCTCCTGCAGGGGCTGTGTGAGCCGAGCCCTCAGACTGGCTTCCCTTTCCCCTTCCCACAGAGGAGATAGAGGGCTTTCGTTTCAGCGCCCACTGCTCCTGTGACAGTAAAGATAACGTGCTCCAAGTGGACATAAACGGTGAGTGTGAGTTTGTGTGTGTGTGTGTGTGTGTGTGTGTGTTTCAGAGAGAGAGAGAGAGAGAGAGAGAGAGAGACCCCTTTTGCCTCCCTGCTCATTGACCGTCCCTCTGAGAATCTCCCAAACCCAAGCAGGGATCGGTCCCAGACGCCGGGGTGACCTGGCTGCCATTCATGACATGAACCGGCCCTTCCTGCTCCTCATGGCCACGCCACTGGAGAGGGCCCAGCACCTGCATAGCTCCCGGCACCGCCGAGCCCTGGACACCAACTACTGCTTCAGGTGACTTCTGCAGCCTTCAGCTGGGGCCTTGTAGGGTGAGGCTTGGCTGCTTTCTGCTGGCCGGTGGACACCTGCCTGGTGCTGTGCTTGGCTGAGCTTCTTTCTCCTTGAGCCTGGGGAGCTCTGGGACAAGTTCCTCGTTTTGGAATGCTGGGGCTTGGGAACTAGGAGTACTATAACGTGGGCATGAGCTTGTCTTCTTGCTGGCGTGTTGGAATCGGAGGCTGTTAGAATGTTGGACACCAAGAGTTGGATTCAATGTGGGAAGGTTGCCTTTGGGAGTGCTACACGGTTGACAGTTGGGGTTCTAGAATGTTGGGATTCTGGCATGCAGAAGTTCAGTGTTAACCATGGAAAGCCAGGGCATGGAACTCAAGGAAAGCTGGAATGTTGGGATACTAGAACTTGGGAATTTGGAATTGGGAGATTGCTGCTTTGGATTCTGAGAGCACGGCCACCTACCATGTTGGCCGATGGGAATCCTGAAAATTGGGCTCAAGACGGTGGACTCTTTTTTTTTTTTTTTTTTTTTAGAAAGAGTGAGAGAGAGTGAGAGAAGAGAATTTTTTTAAATATTTTATTTTTTAGTTTTTGGCAGACACAACATCTTTGTTTGTATGTGGTGCTGAGGATTGAACCGGGCCGCACGCATGCCAGGCCAGCGCGCTACCGCTTGAGCCACATCCCCAGCCCCAAGACGGTGGGCTCTTATGTTGAAATGTTAGATGCGCAAATGTTGGAGAAAGCCAGAATATGGGTATTTAGAACACTGGAGCTCGGGGTTGGAATGTTGGGTCTTAGAATGCTGGGATCTTGGAAGGATGGCAGGACCTCCTTGAATGATGGACTCGGAGCTGTGGAATGTTGGAATGCAGCATTGAAATATGGAAATTCAAGAACATCATGAGCCTCAAGAGTTGGAAAGTGGAAATCCTAGAAAGTTGGAAATGCTGTCAGAATGTCAGAGTCCTAAGATGCTGGAGTATTGCAGTCTAAGAACGTTGAAGGTGGCATGCCTATAACCTGCTGGGGAGGCTGAGGGAAGAGGATCCCAATTAGAGGCCAACCTTGGCAACTTAGAAAGACCCTGTCTCAAAATAAAAAATAAAAAAAGGGCTGGGGATGTGGTTCAGTGGTTGAGCGAACCTGGGTTCAATCCAGGTACTGAAAAAAAAAAAAAAAAAAGAATCTGATCCAGACTGTAATTCAACTATCAAGTTTCCAAAAATAGAGAAACAGAGAAGCATGTTAAGCCACACCATAGGGATGCAGTCAGCCCAATTCAGATGGTGGGAAACCTGTTCTAGTTTCTCCCACAAATACAATGCAAAGAGGAGAGGGGGATGTACATATAAAGAAGTATCTATCTATCTATCTATAGAGAGGGGGGAGAAAGAGATGGTTCTGTAGATTTTTAGAAGAACCCAAAGGGATGCTTCTGTTTTCCCAAGTACCTGGGAGGCTGAGGCATGAGGACTATAAATTCAAGTCCAGCCTGGGCAACTTAGTGGGACCCTATCTTAGAATTTTAAAAAACATTTAAATAAAAAAATAAAAGCCTGTAATTCCAGTGCCTTGGGAGCTTGAGGCAGGAAGACTGCAAATTTGAGGCAATCCTAGGCAACTTAGTGAGATCTTGTGCCAAAATAAAAATAAAAAGGACTCGGGATGTATCTCAGTGGTAAAGCACCCCTGAGTACAATCTCCAGTTCCTCAATAATAAAATAAATAAGGAAAGAAAGGAAGGAAGGAAGAATGAATGAATCTGAAGGTGCACTGAAACTGATTGCAGTGTGCAGACCTTATTTGAATTTTTATTTATTCAGACTTTCTTTAAAAGAAAGACATTTGTTTGAGCCGAGGGTGTAACTCAGTGGTACAGCATTTGCCTGGGTTTGATCCCCAGCATCACCAAAAGAGAGAGAGAGAAAGAGAAAGAGAGAAAGACACACAGACAGTAGGGGAAATGTGAACCCGTAGTATTTGAATCCTGATATTTGATGATATCAATGAATTATTGCTAATTTGTTTACACGGCGTTGTGGTTATGTGTTTGTTTGTTTTTCCCCAGGGCTAGGGATCAGACCCAGAGCCTTGTGCTTGCTAGGCAAGTGCTTTATCACTGAGTTATTTCATGAGCCACTGGTGATGATTTAAAATCACCTTCATTTTCTTAGAGATACATATTGAACTTATTTTTTTATGCAGTCTGAGGTTCAGTCACAAGACCTTACATTGAACTTCTTATGGGTGAAATAACACAGTAGATAGCATGTGCTTCAGAAGAACCCAGTGACAGAGAGGAAGTGGGTTGGGGTAGATATACGATCAGGCTGATGATRAGGTTATGACTTGATGATTGTTGAAGCTGATGATTGTTACTGTGAGGACACAAGGATGCCACATGTAGGYTGAACAGCTCTAATTCAAAATCCAGAATCTGAAACTTTGTGAGCATCGACATCATGTTCAGAAAGTGTGGGATTTCAGAGCATTTTGGATTTTGGATTAAAGATGCTTACCTGGTAAAGTCTATGCAAATACCTCCAAATCAACCCCAGGCTGTGGTCAGTGGGAGAGCACTTGCCTAGCATGTGTGAGGCACTGGGTTCAATTTTCAGCATTGCATATAAATAAAGAAAATAAAGGTCTATTGAAAACTAAGAAATATTAAAAAAAAAAAAAAGAAAGAAAGAAAGAAAAACTCTGAACTGGGTGTGGTGGTACACGCCTGTAATACCAGCGGCTCAGGAGGCTGACGCAGGAGAATGTCAAGTTCAAAGCCAGACTCAGCAACTTAGGGAGGCCCTAAGCAACTTAGCAAGACCGTGTCTCAAAATAAAATAGAAAATATAAAAAAGGGCTGGGGGGCTGGGGCTCAGTGGCAGAGCACTTGCCTAGCATGTGTGAGGCACTGGGTTCAATCCTTAGCACCACTTAAACAAATAAAATAAAGGCAAGCTGTCTATCTACTACTGCAAAAAAAAATTTTTTTAAAGGGCTCAGGGGCTGGGGATGTGGCTTAGTAGTTTAGTGCCCCTGGGTTCAATCTCCAGTACCTCCCCCGACCAAAAAAAAAAAAAAAGTCACAAAAAAACACTCTGAAATCTGAAACACCTCTAGTCCCAGCATTTACAATAAGGAATACTCAATTTGTAATGCAATAGTWTGAAACTTCCCATACTAAGAAATTGTTCTTAATGTCAGCTCAAACACCACTTTGACCCCCAACAGAAACCTCCCTCACAGCTGTCTCCAGTAGCTAAGGAGGATGGGAGGTGCGAGGTCTCCTGGGGCTGCAGGTGGATTTCTTTTATGCATTAGGCTCTGCTGGGTCTTATTTATTTATTTATTTTCTTGTGGGATTGAACCTAGTAGTGCTTAACCACTGAGCCACATCCCCTAGCCCTTTTTATTGTTTCTTTTGAGACAGGGTCTCGCTAAGTTATTCAGAGCCTTGCTAAATTGCTGAGGCTGTCTTTGAACTTGTGATCCTCCTGCCTCAGGCTCCTGAGTTCTTGGGATTATAGGCGTACGCCACTGTGCCTGGCTCCTGCAGGGTCATTTTTTTTTTATTTGTTCTTTTTAGTTATACATGACAGTAGAGCATATTTTGACATATTGATACAAACGTGGAGTACCTCTTATTCTAATTAGGGTCCCAGTCTTGTGGTTTTACATGATGTGGAGATTCACTGTGGTGCACTTATATATGCACATTGGGAAGTTAAGTCTGATTCCTCCTGCTGAGTCTTTTTTTAATATTTATTTTTTAGTTAGACACAATATCTTTATTTTTATGTGGTGCCGAGAATCAAACCCAGTGCCTCACGCTTGCAAGGCAGGCGCGCTACCACTTGAGCCAAATCCCCAGTCCCTTCTCCTGCTGAGTCTTGATAGACTGGACAGAAGAGGTTCACAAAGGCAAGGGCTGTGCGAATCCCAGGCTCAGCACACATTGGGCCCCAGTGTGTCCTGTCGGGGACAGATGAGGAGGAGCCCGCCAGATCACCTGGAGGGCATATTCTCTGCCCCATGGCTTCTGATTGAGAGGGTCTGGGAATTTGTATTTCCCTCAAGTTCCCAGGTACGGCTGCTGTTGGTGGTCCAGGGACCCCTCATGGGGAACCACTGACTTGGGTGATAGCATCACAGACTGTTTAAAGCCTTGGACTCAGAACCCCAGCTCCAGAGCTGGGCCGCCGATCAAAGATGATCTGGACCCTCTGGAGTCCAGGACTCCCCCTCCAAGATGGTAAAAGCCAGGAGAATTTTCCCCAAAAACAGGTATACACATGCACACATTCGGGCAGATGGTCGAGTGTCAGGAGGCCCCCTGAGTGTTTCGTCCCGCAGGTTAAGCACACCCTGTTTGATCCAACATCCCCCATCTCCTAAAACCCACAGGAAACAGAGGCCCATCTAAACTGGGGAGAGGTGAGGCTGCATTTGTGAGAACTTTAGTTTCCTAAGTCCTTTCTCAGGGTCTGGTGGCACCTGGAAAGATCTCTTTTTTAATTCTAATKTTTTAGTTGTTGAATGACCTTTATTTTATTGATTTATATGTGGTGCTGAGAATCAAACCCAGTGCCTCACACACAGGCAAGCGCTCTACACTGAGCCACACCCCCAGCCCTGGAAAGTCCTTACCTTGCTCACCTCTTCTTCTGCTTGACTGGCATGGTCACCCCAGGAAGATGAGGCCACAGGCTCCACAGGGTCAGCTGGGAACCTGGCCCCGCCCACCTAGGGCACGCTGCCTCCCCCCTTCTGGGGGGGGCGGGGGGGGGCTGCTGCTTCATTTCTCAAAGGGGAAGAAGAACCAGCCTGCCCTGCGGTGTTTTGAAATGAATTGATCCATTCTCTTTCAGCTACATTTTGGACAGGTAAATACAGGCAGATAGACCAAACCCAGGAAGATAAAGTGACCCCCCCACTCTGACCCCAGCCCCTCTCTAAAGAGGCGGCCACCTTGGCCCTACTGGGTCTCCTTCCAGAGGGAGTCTCTGCCGTACATATTTACATATATTCACATATTCTTTTTCATTTTGCCCAACTGGTTGTCTTTTGCAGGTTATTTTGATTCTAAAAGTAACAACCTACCTACTGCTGAGGATTTGGGAAATTTAGAAAGATACTACCTGTCACACTAGCACATAAAAAGCCACTGTTTCCAGGTGTGGTGGTGCATGCCTGTAATCCCAGTGGTTTAGGAGGCTGAGGCAGGAGGATCAAAAGTTTGAGATAAATTATAAATTATAAATTACCAGCCTGGGTAATTTAGTGAGACTGTCAAAATGAAAAAAAGGATTGGGGATGTCGTTCAGTGGTAGAGCACCTCTGGGTTCAATCCCTAATACCATAGAAAAAGAAAGAGAGCAGGTGGCTGGGAGGGAGAGAGGAAGGAAAAAAAAGTTACTACCAGAGTTTGAATATATTTCCTACTAGTCTTTTGGTGCATAGCAGAATTTGGATTATACTGTACCTGTACCTTTTTTTTTAAAATTTGTTTCTTTTTTTTTTTTTTGCTCTTTTTTTTATTGTTGGTTGTTCAAAACATTACATAGTTCTTGATATATCATATTTAACACTTTGATTCAAGTGGGTTATGAACTCCCATTTTTACCCTGTATACAGATTGCAGAATCACATCAGTTACACTTCCATTAATTTACATATTGCCATACTAGTGTCTGTTGTATTCTGCTGTACCTGTACCTTTGAATCATGTTTTTTGCACATGTCACAAACATGGACTGTAAAGTTCTCCTGGCTTCCCATGAGTCAACTTTTGTGGCCAGGCTCCCTGGTCATCTCAGCTGGGGTGCCCAGGGCCAGCACACAGAACACCCCATTCCTCTCAGGCAGAACCTGGGCTGGACAGGAGAGGACTGGCCTTTGGATCTGAGCCTGCAGATCTTGCCAAAAGATAGAGGTTAAAATAGCAGTATAAACACTACTGTCCTCCAATGTGCTTTTTAAAAACAGATGTTCATCAATTAATTTACACATCCAACATTTGCTGAGTGTCTACTGTGTGCTGGGCACTGGCAGGCACTGGGGAGACATTAGGGGAGAAAACAGAATTTTCTATGCCTAGAGGAAGACAGAGGAGCTCTATTAAAATAAAAGGTGATGATAAGTTCTAAGAAGGAAAATATATCAGAGGAAAGCGACAGAGGAAATAGATATTAGGAACTATTTATTTCTCTTGCTCTGATTAAAATTGATTTGTTATGGACAATTTCACATGTTGACAAAGGCAGTGGAGATAATATAATGAAGTTCTGTTAACTCTCATCCAGCTTCAACAATTATCAGGATTTTGTCCCATTTGAAATATGGTGATTTTCATATTTTCTTATAATAAGTGCAACATCATATTGCACTAAATGGAATTAATAGTCATTTGGATTGATATTTTGGATAAGATGGCCCAGGCAGGTCTCTCTGAGGAGGTGATATTCATTTGTATAATTGGTATTTATTGAGCACCTGCTGTGTGCCAGGCATTGTGTTGGGAGTCAAGACTCCCTGAGTGACAAACATTGGAGACAAGGTTTAATGATCCAGAGTGGCTATCTGTGGGAAGAACAAGCCAGGCAGAGAAAGTGCAGAGGCCCTGGATAGGACTGTGTTTGAGGAACAGACGGGAAGCCATTGTGGCTAGAGTGACATGAGCATGGGTGACAGTTGAGATCAGCCAGATCCCGTAGCACCTGGGGCTCATGTGAGTACTTGGGCATTTGCCATGGGGATGGATCCAAGTCCAGAGCAAAGGAGCGACATGACAGTCTATAGCATGTGGCCTGGGAAGGCACAGATTTCTGTTTTGTTTGTGTTGTCCCCAGCAGTAGGTCCTAGCCCAGCATGCAGCAGTAGTTCAGTAAATATTTTTACACAAATAGAACATATGAGCACATGTGGGCCACATTCTTTTTTATGTTCCATGTGTGATTGTGCCATGATTTATTTAGCCTTTTCCTGTGGATGTCTATTCAGCTTCTTACAGGCTTATTATGCACACTGCATGCAATTATGTTTTTGATGATGCTCTCATCACAGTGGTTGACTAGAGGGAGTGCTTGAACTGTGCTAGTGATGATCGGCACCCCTACTGTTACTGTTGTGACTACCACAGGGGGTGCAAGGGAGGCGGAGGTGGAGATGTGGCTGGGGAGCAACCTAGGGCCGGCACATGTGCAGGGAGGAGCAGTGTGGCCTGCCTCTGCTCCTGACCTGCGCTCCTTTTGCCTGCAGCTCCACAGAGAAGAACTGCTGCGTGCGGCAGCTATACATTGACTTCCGCAAGGATCTGGGTTGGAAATGGATCCATGAGCCCAAGGGCTACCATGCGAACTTCTGCCTGGGACCGTGCCCTTACATTTGGAGCCTGGACACGCAGTACAGCAAGGTGGGTCTAGCTCACAAGGTTGTGGGGAACAGGGACCAAACAAAAAATAAGTGAGTTAAATAAGAGAAGAGAGAGAAAAGCAAGGATGGATAGCCGGGTGGGTGGCACCCACCTGTAATCCCAGCAACTCCGGGGGCTGAGGCAGGTGGATGGAAAGTTCGAAGCCAGCTTTAGCAATTTAGCAATGTCCTAAGTAATTTAGTGAGACCCTGTCTCAAAATAAAAAATGAAAAGGGCGGGCGGTGTAGCTCAGCGGTAAAGCACCCTGGGTTTAATCAAGAGACGGAGACAGGGTTTGGGTAGGAGGAATAAAGATATGAGGAGAGACAGAAGCAGAGATGGATCAGGACAGACGGAGAGAGCTGAAGAGAAACAGACAGGTATGGGGAGACTAGCGGGTTGCGGACCAGGTATGGGGAGACTAGCGGGATGCGGACCGTGAGCAGGGGCGGTGTGAGGGAGGCCACAGCCTTGCCCCCTCCGCCAGTGCTGGCCCAGACCCTGACCTGTCCGGCCGTCCGCAGGTCCTGGCTCTGTACAACCAGCACAACCCAGGCGCATCGGCGTCGCCGTGCTGCGTGCCGCAGGCTCTGGAGCCTCTGCCCATCGTGTACTACGTGGGCCGCAAGCCCAAGGTGGAGCAGCTGTCCAACATGATCGTGCGCTCCTGCAAGTGCAGCTGAGGCCCGGCCCCGCCCCGCCCCGCCCCGCCCCGCCCCGGCAGGCCCGGTCCCGCCCCCGCCCCGCCCGCCGCGCCCGGGCTGTATTTAAGGATTTCTGCACCCCAAGCCCACCTGGGGGGCTCATTAAAGGTGAGAGAGGACAGGTGGTCTCTGTTTCATTGGGCGCCTAAGTGGATCTCTCTCCTTCACGCTGCGCTCCCTCTCTTTCCGTCTTTCCCCAGAAGACATTCTGGGGAACACACCAAGCGCGTGGTGTGTTCCAAGGGCCACCTGTAGGTGCAGGGGACCAGTGGTGAGYCCTAGTTAAAGCTGTTTGTCAAGCACCTTGGGCACTCTTCTAAGAGCCTCACCTTCATGAACTCACGGACTCTCAGGGGTTCTGATAACACCTATCTTACAAAAGGGAGGAAGCAGAAGCCTGGGGAGGTTAAGGGAGTATTTCCTGCGCACCAGGAACCTAACTAGACAGAAAGAAATAATGGTTCAGTGATAAGTAGCATGTGAACAATAAAGCAGGATGGAATGAGAGAGATGGCTTTGGGGAGGAGGGAGGGCCTCTTGGAGGGAGTGGCATTTGAAACTTGAAGGAAGCCAAGAAGGCAGCCTAGGGGTGGACTTGAGGCAGGGAGTGTTCTCYGTAGAAAGAGGATGAAAAAGCAAAGACCCGGAAGCCATGACCAACTGAGGAAAGAGGCCAGTGTGGTTGGAAGAGGGTGAGCAAGGGAAGGGTGTTGGGAGCTGAGTCAGATTGTAACACTCTGCAGGCCAGAGAGTAACAACAGTTCTACTTGCCAGGTGTGTCATCTCGCCTAACTTCCTGCATTYGCCCTGCAGCCTGACAGAGCAGGGGTTGGCAAAGTGCAGCCCACAGCCAACTGCAGCTCACTGTCTGTTTTTGTAAAGTTATATTGGACACAGCCACACTCCTTCGACTACATATTGTCTATGACTGTGGCACTGCTTCACAGCAGAGCTGAGTAGAGACCATGCAAAGTCAAAAATATTTACTACCTAGGTTTTTTTTTTTTCAAGTTGTAGATGAACACAATACCTTTGTTTTATTTATTTATTTTTATGTGGAGCTGAGGACCGAACCCACATAAAAATAAAAAACCCACTTGTGAGAACCTCACAAGTGCTAGGCAAGTGCTCCACCACTGAGCCACAACCCCAGTCTCTACTATCTGATTCTTTATAGAAAAAGCTTGCTGACCCTGCTATGGAGACCATTTGATCTTCACTTTGCAGATGGGGACACTGCACAGCTAGTAAACAGCAGAGCTGAGAGTTTAGCCTAGGCAGCTTGAGTTGGGGGGCCATATATGCAAGCCCTATGCTCCGATGGCTTCCTGAGTCACATCAGGGGTGTAGGACAGCAGGAACTTGTCCTCTGAGGGAGGTGGGAGCCCCATCAGGGTTCTGAATGGAGGAGGGGCATGAATTGACCCAGAAGCTCGGGGTTGGGAGTACCTTCTGGCTGATGGTTGAGAGTAGAATGAGTGAGGGTAAGGATGATGGAAGAGAGACCTTTCGTCCAGGCAAAAAATGCCTGCCTGAGACAGGGTGGGCTTTCCTCTGCCATCTTGCCTCCTCCATCTGCTGTAGTTGTGTTTGTGAATTTTCTCCTGCTTCCTCTTTCTCTCGCCTCTCAGTTTCCTCTTCCTCCAGAGATTCACTTCCCCCCTCTGTGCCCTGCCCTTCTTAGGCCCAGGGCCCCTTGACTTGCTCCTCTCCCTAGGGATTATCTGGGGCAGAAGACAGTGGGAGTGCGGTGCTGCCGTGGGCCTAGAGCAGTTGGCAGCACTGTGGCTGAGCGTGAGCATCCTGGGCCCTCCTCCTGCCCCAGGTCTGGGAGCTGCATGGGGCCAAGTTGGGATGGGGGGACAGGAGAAGCTCACTGYGCAAGGACATGTTGCCATTGTCACCAGCCTCATGTGTGGAGACACTGCTGAGTCCTGGCCCTGAGTGGCAGAAACACAAAGCAAGGACACAGTGACATGGGCTGTAGTCACTGTAGCCCCATAAGGATGTGGTACATATGCTCTCCCACAGAGAGTGAAATATGGGCAGTGTCCCACAATCTTACAYTCACCTCTCAGAGTTGCAGTGGACACACAGGGGCTCATGCCTGAACCAGGACACATGGAGTGCGACACCTGCAGCAGTCACAGCCCACACATACAGATACAAACAGCGTGTCACCCCATCACATAAACACAGCCCAACCTTGGAGCTTCATTGGGACATGACACAAGCAGAGACTTCAATAGCAAAACAGTCACACCAATATATTCCATAGGGTCATGGTCACCACCACCACATACCAGACATAGATTCAGACAGTTACAGACACACATCTCAGCATCAGAGCCCCTCAGGAAATGGACACCCCCYAGGCAGTTACACAAACATCCTTCCTGGGGTCATGGTCACCCCACATCACACACAGAGGTTTGACATATGTCACAGTCACAGACTGCCAGTGGTCCTACCCACTGTCTTGACATTTCACCGCCATCCCCACTCCCCTGGGGAGTTCCATGTGGCCCACTGATGGCCACGACCCTGTCACACCCAGGGTCCCAGACAGTGCAGCTCCCACACACCCAGACACACCCCCGGGGTCCCCAAGGCCCTCAAGCCCGGCACGCCTGCGGACAAGCGCTGGCTGCCCGCTGTGGCGGTCGCCCCGCCTGCCGGTGACACACCCCGCCCACCTGCCCGGGGCTGCCGCCGAGCTGGCGCGGGAGAAGGCAAAGTGTGGGCTCAGCACCTTCACCAGCMGCGTGCGCGGCCCGGGCCCTGCCACCCTGGCACCGTGGCCCGYTGGGTGGCCCGGCCCAGTCGGGACACGTCTGCGCCGCCCGCACCAACCGCAGGGGCAGGGGCAGGGCCGGGGTTCGGGGCGCTCCGCTGCCTCCCCGCCAGCCCCGCCCGGGACAGCGCGCCGTCCGTCGGGGGAAGTCGTGGGGGGAGCCTGGGTTCCGGCTGGAGCCCCGGCTTCCCGTCCGGCCGACGCGCAGGAAGCGGCCGGGGGAGGCCAGCTCAGGCCTTCCTGCCGGCTCCCGGGGATGGGGTCGGCATGGGGGAGGAGCGGGGGAGCCCCCTTCCCGCCAGGTCTCTGGGCGTCCCAGTGCTAGGTGTGTCCTGGTTCCAGTAGGAACTCACAGGTGTGTTCAGGCCCCGTGTGTGCACCTGGAGGGGAGGGGTCTCCAACAAGTGTGGTGGCTCTAAGCCGMTGGCCTGGCACCTCTTGGCCTTTGGTGGGTGGTGGTGGCAGCGGGTGCGCCCCAGCACGTGTTCGGCTCCGTGTCTGTGGCTGCGCTGCATTTCTGTTGAGTGTGTCTGCTGGTTCATGTTTCTGCTGGACACGCCGGGGTACTTTCCATGGGCTCCATGTCCTGGCACTGACTGGTGAGTCTGTGTACCAGTGGGTCGCTAGTTTTTTCTTTTTCCCTCCCCCTCAACGTCTTCCAGGTTCTCTTCGTGTAAATTTCTATGTTCTTAGTGTAAATTCAACCTGAAATTTGGGTGTTTTCTGCATGCTTATAGGTCTGTGACAAAGATGTTTCCAGGAGGTGTTGTGCGTTGTGTATTTGGCTTTTAAAGGAAGTTTTTGGTACACATGTGTGATTGTTGCCAGTATCTGTGTGTCTGTACATAAGTTTTTTTTTTTTTTTGTGGTGCTAGGGATGAAACCGAGGCCTCGAGCATGTTGGGCAAGTGCTCTACCACTAAGCTCCGCCCTAGCCCTAGTGTGTGATCAGTGTGTGATCCCCCTGTGCCTTGCTGGTATTCTGAGGACTTTTGTGTTCTGCAGATGGTGTGTTTCTGTGGTGTTTCCAACACGCCTTCCGTGGCTCTTGCAGTCTGTGTGGGAGGCTGTACTTCCGGACTGTGTGGCTTGTGTGTGTCCATCTCAGGGACTGGTATTTTCAGCCTGTGTGGGCAGCTGCAAGCAGGTGGAGTCTGCATTGGTGTCCCCACCTGTAGGCTGGTGGCTCCAGAGTGTGAGAGTGTTGGGAGATCTCAGCAGGGGTGGATGTGGGTCTGTATTGTGTGCCAGTGTTTTCAAGGAAAGGAGACCTCCTGTCCTGTGAAGCCACTGGCATCATCTGGTTGACCAGTGTCCACCCATTGGCCTTTGTGCTGAGTAAGTGGAGGCTGCGTCTGCGGCGTCCCCTTGCCTGCTGGTGCCACGTTGGCTCAGGGCTGGCGGTGGCAGCGGGCAGGGCAGGGCAGGGGCTGTGGTGGGCACTGGCCCCACGCCCAGCCTTGGTATAAATATCCCCAGGCTGCCTGCGGCTGTGTTTACTCAGCCCCAGCCCCGGGGGCGGCAGCAGCCCAGCAGGTCTGGGGGTGGGGGTGACCAGGCCACAGCACAGACATTTCCTTCTGGCCAGACAGACCCAAAGCCTTACTGCCCCCTCCAGCCTAGGGGCAAGGTGGTGACCCCTAATTCTGGGCCCCCAGCGGAGCTCTGACTTGGACATCCAGTTAGGCTTCCTGGATCTGGGAGACACAGATGGAAATGGGGGCCCAGGGAGGGCTGGGCATGGAGGGACAGGAAAAAATGAGGGTGAAGGCCAGAGGAGGAGGGAGAGAGGGATGGGGAAACAGGGTTAGTGAGACAGTAGCTGAAACCCAGGGGCCCAGGARAAAAGGACAAATGCAGGAAGTAAAGTGAGAAGGGGGAAAGAAGGAGAAGCAAGGGAAATGGAGGGAGAAGAGGGGCTGGCAGAGGATGGAAAGTCACAGGAAGACGCTGACAGCCGGAGACGCAGAGACCAAATAAGACGGGGGAGGGAGGGAAGCCAAAGATCTGAAGGAAACAAGAGGAGGGCACGGGGCAGGCAGAGACCTCAAGACAGGAGCCGAGGGAGGGAGGAGCAGGGAGTCGCTTTGGCTCTGGCAGGACACACAGAGGTGTGGACGTGGGGGGTGGGGGTGGCAGCCAGCAGAACCCGGTCAGACGGGAGACACGGGGTGGGGGCCGGATGCCCACAGAGGGGCTCTTCCCCAGAGGGGCCCTCCCTCCCTGACTCAGCCTCTCCACCCACCCCATCCCCACAACTGGGAGTGAAGGGAGAGGTGCCCACRGTGGGGGCTGCTCCCAGGGGGTGTGTCTCTTGCATCCCTGC